ACACCCGAAACCCGAAACCCGAAACCCGAAAACCCGAAACCCGAAACCCGAAACCCCGAAACCCGAAACCCGAAACCCGAAACCCGAAAGCCGAAAACCCGAAACCCGAAACCCGAAACCCGAAACCCGAAACCCGAAACCCGAAACCCGAAACCCGAAACCCGAAAACCCGAAACCCGAAACCCGAAACCCGAAACCCGAAACCCGAAACCCGAAACCCGAAAACCCGAAAACCCGAAACCCGAAACCCGAAACCCGAAAACCCGAAACCCGAAAACCCGAAACCCGAAACCCGAAAACCCGAAACCCGAAAACCCGAAACCCGAAAACCCGAAACCCGAAAACCCGAAACCCGAAAACCCGAAACCCGAAACCCGAAAACCCGAAAACCCGAAAACCCGAAACCCGAAACCCGAAACCCGAAACCCGAAAACCCGAAACCCGAAACCCGAAAACCCGAAACCCGAAACCCTTAGCCCGAAGCCTTAATACTCTAAAACCGATACCCTAAAACCGAAATCCTAAAATAGAAACCCTTAACCCAAAAACCTCGAAACCTAAACCCTAAACCATTACAACCCTAATCGCCGAGTGCGGTGATGGTGCATTAATGGCGAATCATTTTTGGAGACATTTTTATTATTATACCGTTTTATTATTTCAACTATGAGCAACCCTTCAACTCTGCAGAATATATTTTTTACCAAATTTTATGGAGCTGCAAGTGTAAAGAATATGGAATTTTTGGTTCATATAGATTTCAAAGGATGATAAGATTTTTCATACATAACTTGCATGCATGTATCTGATTTATTTATTTAGCAAAAAAACGTGAGCTATAGTATATATGATTTATTGTGCTTTTGCTCGATTAGTCATAAATAAAACTTAATCCATGACAGCAAACGAACTCCATGGTGCTAAAATTGTACAAAACAATTTCTGTGTGCGCTCTTTATATAGACAATAAAAAAAATTAACGACACTATATATATTTTTTTAGGAGATAATGAAACAATATTAAGAAAAAGTATTTCAAAGTAATTTGTGAATAAATGTTTTCTACATTATTTGTATGAATTTTTATATTTCGAACAAATGTGAAGCGGACAATACAATCTAGAATGTGTGCAGTAATATATATGATTTTTCTTTTCTTTTTTTGTTCGTTATATAAATGAATCAACAATTGTTAAAACAATCTTTCAGGACAGCTATGAAGTAGAGATAATGGTTGAATGAAACAATTGCTAAAACATTTTTTTTTAAATATTGCTATACATATACATACATATGTGGTATGGGAATGTGTGGACGGCAACGATGACAATGGTCGAATGAAGTAGAGAATTGGAAGTAATGCAACAGTTGTTAACTTAGTGAAGGCAACATGGGATTCATGGCAAGGCCAGAACCTCCAGAACCACCTGGCTCAGCATGCTTCACTCGACCAAAATATCTAATGTGACGCAACAACCTTGCCAAAAATGTATTATGGCATATCGTTGAGCTATCACAAATTATTGCCACATGCTTACGTGCTCTTGTTATAGCTACATTCATTCGTCTGCTGTCTCCTAAAAATCCAACAGCTCCCAAGTTGTTCGACCGAACCTGAAACAATAGTGTAATTATATTGATTGAAACATCAAACAAGCAGAATTACTTCTCCAGCGTATTCGCCAGAGAACAACAAAAAAAAAAAAAAAAAGTGACACCCCCTTACTGCATATTTCTGTTAAACATGACGATTACGACATTAAAGAAAAGCTCACCATTGATATAATCACAGCATCTGCTTCACGGCCTTGAAAGCTGTCAATAGTTGCAACCTCAACACCTTTGGTTATCGGAAACTCTTCTAGCCTGTCTCTTAATAGTTGAACTTGAGCAACATAAGGAGATTGCACTACTATGCTTGCTGGCCTAACACCTAATTCAACACAGTTAATAAGATTAGATATCTGCAACTTCCGATCCTCTAATAATTAATGTTAGTCCTACTGGAAGATTAGAAGATGGCAATACCAGCATAAATCAAGGCAAAAACGTGCTGTACAACAATGTCCGCTTCACCTTCATTGTAGAAAGAGCCTGTGCCAGCTGGGTCTAATTGTTCTTCACAGCCAACAGACAAACTCCCATATGGCATTCTTGTGTCAAGCAACAGCAACGGGCATTGTGTTATCCAGGTTGGCTGCAACAAGAGTACATTTATTGTCGTCATCGTAATTGAATAAAAGAAAATTCACATGGCTAATAATTATTTGACACAAGAGTTTTTAGTTGATGTATGCTTTTATGCTAATAATCCACATAACGAAGAAACTTAAATGTATCTTAACTGAATTTATCATCTGATTTCTATGGTGCCTACACTTTTGTGTTTCTCAGAAATAATTTAATACCGAATTGTATATGCCTCAAAAATAAATCCCCTTGTTGAATACACTAGCTTACCTTCACAGAACAATCTTTCCAGGAATTGGAGGCAATATTTTCAACTGTCTTTAAAAAAATATTGACATTCTTGCTTCAACGTTCAAAGGTAGATAGATTCTTTGGCCAATAAATAACAAAAGTAGCATGATAATAGAAACAAGTTTTATGATGTAAATCTAATTCCGACTCACATTTTCATATTCATTTCTCAAGTGCTTATACTTGCCACACTCAAATTGATGGCTCAGGAGTAGCACTGGATTCAGATCTGGTGATAAACAAGCCAACATAGAGTCTGAGAAATTCACTTTCATTGTTTCAGGTAAGACTAAATCCAGTCCGGTTTCTATTATAATAAAAAACAAATATATTGGGCTCTCTCTCATTGACAGCTCCTCCCAGTAAATGAGTGAAATTCATTGTACCTTTTAATTTGAATTAATACTCTGAAAACTGGTTTGCTAATTTTATAGTCCTATACCTGCAGATTACTAAAACTGTTCAGTTATCAGAAATTCATTGTACCTTCGCCAATAAATGATGTAACCTCAGAAAATCTAGTTTCTCTAGATACGTCATCGGGGATAGGTGTCATTGTGAGTCTTAAGTAATACATATGATTGATTTGTTTTAAGATACTGTATATGCAAAAAAACATGTTTAAGCTCAACGCACATGAATTTAATTTTTTGAATAAAATAATGGCAGAATAATTGTAAATTTGTCAAAGCACTCTACCTTGACCAATGGAGAATCAGAAAGAAGATGAGAAGTAACACTGGCAGATGACTTCAGTAACCCATTATACATCTCCTTTGAAGCCCAGCTAGCTATTGCATCATTCATCCTATACTGTGTTGTTAACTTTGTCGCAAAAACCCCTTCATGCAAAGTTGACGCTCTTTCCAAGAGAGATACGCCCAGACCACCTTCTAAGGCTTTTCTAGATAATATCACAGGTGCAAGTTGGCATTGGTCCCCTGCAAGTATACAACGTTTTCCCAGCAATATTGGTATCCAGCAAGAAGGTTCAATGGCCTGACCTGCTTCATCTATGACCACCAAGTCAAATGAGTCAAGTGATCTAATCATCGGGTCAGCTGCTCCAATATTAGTGGCAAGCACAACCTGAGCACTTGAAAGAATTTCTTTTACTGTTTCCCTCTCCTTCTTCTTGATCGCCTTCCCCAACTGTTTCAAAAGCTGACGTATGCCAGCAGCTAAAGAATCATCCTTTAAGCAATGGCTGAGGTCCTTCCTTAAATTAGATTTCTTCCTCCCAAACTCTGATTTATAATCCGCAAGTTTACTATTAACAATTTCAACCAAAGATTTGGAAGCAACGGCAGGCGATATTCGTGCTGGATTACCTACGCGTACAATATTAGCTCCAATATCAGACAGTTTCTCAACCATGTTGTCTACAGCTGCATTAGTCGGTGCAGTTACAAGTACTCTTTCACCTCGTTTAACAACAAGTGAAATTAGTTGCTTCAGCACACCAGTCTTTCCAGCTCCAGGAGGACCTTGGATTATGAGTACAGGACGCTTCTTGTTTAAACCTAATGCAATTGCCCTTTGCTGGGAGCTGTCGTAAAATTCAGTGTCTAACAACCCATCCAACTCCACTTCAGACCAATCTACCAAGTCATTATCCTCAAACCACGCTATATCTTCTTTATCTCCAAAGATTGTAGTCACAACGGCTACTGATGAATTCTGTTTCTGTAAACCTTTCTTCTGAAGCATCATTAAAGCTTCACAATTACGCTGCACAAAGTAATTACAAGAATTTAAAACACATATGCTGATTGGAAATGAAAAATATGAGAATATGAAGGCCAATCAATGCTCTGATATTACATAACTGGCACCACCTCAGTTCAGAGTATATGTTGCGATCATATGGAAATGTTTTCCTGGTTGATTTGTTATTAAATTCCAGCTATTTATGATTATTTTTAAATAGAAACTAGATAGTTTTCCATCTGTATATATAATGAGAACATAATAGAGAAGATGGGAAGCATCATCCGTGTTTTTTCAAATTGCATATATCTGAACACCCCATTGAGCAAACAAGAGCGGATGTCTTTAGTACCTCATATGTGAGTGCATCGGCCAATCCTTGTATGCGATCAATGCGGATATTCTTGCCAAAAAGTTTAGAAAAGGTAGGATCGCCATGACGGGATTCAAGAGCGACACTAATGCTACATCCATCATCCCCGAGATTATTAACAAAACCTTGCATGCAAGATGTTGCACCAGCCCCCCTACTGTCACATATTCTAACGCAAACCATATCTCCCGGAGAAAGATTAGTGGGTGGCAATCTGTGGTTTCCCTCAGCTCTGAACAAAACCAAATGCATTCCTCCTAGTCCTACATTTATAATAAAATATTGATGATGTGTTAATTTAAGCAGATAAGTGGAAATGGTTGGAATTGGAAGTCATTATTGTGTTACCTATAGATGTGCTAATTGCATTGAGATTGCATATGGTATCACAGAGTTCTTGCTCAGCCTGGGCATGGCTGACCAAGAATTCAATGGGCTTTGGTGAAGTGGAATGCTCATCAGGTGTTGGAACGGCATTCAGCTCTTCCTCGGTAAACTCCAATTCAGAATCCCTTTCAATGCGAAGAAGATGTGACATGTGCTCGGTGAATTTGTCGATTCTGCACTGAATGGATTTGGTCTTGTCGATGGATAGACCATGGAGAGACTTGGACAGGGGAGCTTTTCTGGCAACAGCTCTATGTTGAGCTGGAAAAAATAAAATAAAACGGAGATTAAAAACAAGGAATAGTGACATGAAAGATCATTGAGCAGATTAATAGGGAGGATATGGATAAAAAAAAGAAAACCTGAATTAGCGAGATCCTTGAGCAACTTCCATGACTGAGTTTGATGCCAGGTAAGAGGAATGAGAGATTTGTGCTGGAGGTCCTGAAGAATGTCCCTGAGCTCCCTCTGAAAGTGGTCGAAGAGGGTTGGGTAATGAGTGCAAGTCTTGAGGCAGATGGCTTCAAGGCCAACGGGCATAGGAACAGCATTGAGGTAGGGTTGAGCCTGTATTACAAAGGTGAGACCAGCCGGCCCCATCTGTTGTTTCAGTTCGGCAAATTCACCCTGCATCTCAGCCCTTGCAAACTCCAAAGCCATCGCTTTCATGCCTTGGGATATCCATTTCACCACGCCTTTGCCCAAATCCCTCCGCCCAAGGGGGTCACCACCATTCTGATACAGAGAACGCACGCTCGTTGGCCCATTTCTCTTACCTTCGTTTATTTGCTGCTGTTTGTTTCTCATTTCTTCTTCAGTTACACTTACAGGCACACCACTATCACTACTATTATTCTTACCTTGTTTATTCTTGTTGCTCCTTCTCTTAGTGGCACTGCCGCTGCTGTTATTTCTTGCAGTCGACAAAATACGATGTGAAATTGGTGAACCTAAAAATACTCTCTTCTTGTGGCGGTAAAGATAAACAGAATCACTGCGGACGACCGGGGATTTCAATAGTGAGGCCGAAACGCCGCCACAGGAAATGCACAACGCTTCCATCTTTCAGAACTTGAGCTGCTCCTCCTCCTCCTCCTCCTCCTCCCTGGTGTAAATTTAAAAATTCAAACAATCAATCAACTTTCTCAGAACAAATACAAAAAAAAATATCAACATATAAAGAAGAAATATTTACAAATACCCCTCAGAATCTACAATAACTGTTAGAGGTGAGCAACGAGAGAATCAATCGTAAAATGATGATGGAAGAATGTTGTGGCTCTGGAACTTGTGGGGTTCGCGAAGATATTGAGTCAAGTCATTGTTAGGGTGGGTCCCCATCCCCCAATCTCTAAACTAAAGGATCCCACCCCCATGGATTCCATCTGCAATTAGCCACTAACCATTCTCTAATGTTCGTGGCCTTCATTTAGCCGCGCCATCGTTTAGTTGATTGACAGACCCTTTTTCTTTATTCTTTTTTTCTTTTTTTTTCTTTTTTTTTTCTTTTTTATTCTTTTCTTTTTTTTTTTTTTGAGGAAAAAAATAGGCTTATAAGATTGATCTTTAAATAACCCTTAATTGAATTAAAAAATAATTAATTTAATCACTCAGTTCATTGAATTAATTGCTCTACTTAGCCTTTTCAGAAAATTTCCAAAAAAAAATCGGACGTACAAAATCAATTCCAATTCTCATTTCAAAATTTTCGGAATCTAAAAATTCATTCTAATTTCACAAGGCCCGGAATTTTCGGAATTTCGGAAAAATTTTTTGTCGCTCATAACTGGAGAAGAGAACGTTTATTTGAATTCCGATAGAGTGTACAATGAGGAGTTAATATCATAGATCCGAGTTCCTCAACACCATATCGTGCTCCAGAATTCCACCTAGGTTGCATTGAAAAGATGTACTCCCGTTATGCTCATAAAAAATATTGATCAGGCTAGAGGATCGTGCAGTGGAACTAGGCTTCAGGTTATTAATATGGGAAAACACGTTCTCAAATGCATTACACTACCCGATAAACATGTTGACCATATAGTGTACGTTCATTGCTCAAATGACATTGGTACCGTCCAACTCTACATCGCCTATTAAATTTTAGCAATGTCAGTCTTCGGTGATGGTTTCCTTTGCAATAACAATCAATAAAAGTTAAAGACAAACTCTTTCCCATGTAGTACGGCACTTGCTCAGACATGTTTTCAGTCATGGACAACTCTATGTCTCACTCTCGAGAGTTAATAGTTGAAGTGGCATAAGGATTTTGATCACGTCGGAATCTAGCGATACAACCAACTACAAATAATGTGGTACAAGGATGTTTTTCGGCATATATGAAGGTAACTATATAATTTTTTTTTACAATTTTACATAATGACCTTTATTTTGTATAACTTATATGTTTTGGCATTCCTCATTTGTAGGTTAATTTGCATTGTACTAGAAACTTGCTACGGGCTCCACTCAATATTTTTATCAAGGTAATTTATTGTAGAATGATTTTATGTCATTAAATATTTATATTTGTATTATTTTGGTAACGTTTTACTTATTTTGTATAATTATTGTACAAAATAGCAAGTCAATTGCATTGTATTGGATTCGTTACATGCGTTTAGGGATATTGTAGCTGAGACACGCTCAAATAAGCTTCAACGAATCAGTGAGCTCCATCCTCTTTACTTGCCTCTACAGTATCCTCTTTTATTTCCTTACAGGGAAGATGATTATCGAGACGATATCTGTTTGAGAGAATCTTCGTTTGCTGATAATAGAAAATGGAGGAAGGTAAGCATGCGAGAGTTCTTTGCATATCTAATCCTGAAACGACGTTGATAACATTTGTTACTTTTGCATTTCAAGAAGTTATTTCAGCAGTTCTGTGTTGATGGATTTTCGATGGTAGAGTCACAGAGGTTGAATTTCATAAGGTTCAATCAAGATCAACTTAGGGTTGACATGTACAAGGGTATCGAAGAAAATATTTTTAAAGGAGACACTGAGGGTAAATCAGTTGGACAACGCATTATAATTCCAGGGTCGTTCACCGCAGGTCCAAGGTATATGTTTAACAACTTCGTTGATGCTCTTCAAATATGTAACTGGATTGGATCTACAACCCTCTTCATTGCCATCACATGCAATCCTCAATGGCCAGAAATACAAAGGGTGTTGAAAGATACAAATCTCAGGCCGGAGGATAGGCCAGACATTCTTTGTCGTGTGTTCAAGATGAAGCTCAATAGTATGATGACAGAAATCAAGAAAGGTTGTATATTCAGACGTATTACAGCATGTAAGTATTTAATTAGATCTCAGTTTATAATTATACATTTACTTCATTCATATAAATTAAAGAATTTGCTCATGTGTGAGTTTAACTACTTATTGCTTCCTTAACTAAATTAATGCATATTTTTTTAATACCATATGTTTATATTTTCTATGCAGATGTATGCTTAATTGAATTTCAGAAACGAGGTCTACCGCATGCACATATTTTATTGTGGTTTCATAATAACGATAAGACCAATAACCCAGAAGAAATTGATAGGATCATATGTGCTGAAAATCCTGACGAAGTAAACGACCGAAAGATATACCAGTTGGTGGAGAAGTATATGATACATGGACCGTGCGGTCAGGCGAATTTGAAATCTCCCTGTATGAAGGATCGAGTTTGCACGAAGCGATTTCCAAAGCCATTTGTGCAGCGCACTGAATCAGATGCAGATGGTTTTACTATGTACAGGAGAATGGAAGATGGCAGAACAGTTACGAAGAAGAAGACTACTCTTGACAATGGGTTTGTAGTCCCGTACAATCGTATATTGTTGAGTACATACCGATCTCACATTAATATCGAGTTATGCAACCAGAACAAGTCAATCAAATACATGTTCAAATACGTAAACAAGGGGCATGGCCGAGTTACGACGGCATTTTATGAAACTCGTAATACAGATGGCGGTGCTGAGATTTGTGATGAGATAAAGATGTACTACGACTGCAGATATCTTTCGGCATGTGAGGCAATGTGGAGGTTTGCGAACTTGGGTTAAAAGAGGATTCTCGAACTTGGGCGCCAAGGAAAAAAAGATTTTCTATTGGTAGGTTTGCGAATGTTCCCCCTGGAAAGGAGAAAGACTAATACCTTAGATTGCTACTTAACATTCAGAGGGGATATACGTGCTACGAAGACATCAGAAAAGTTTTTGACACCGTCTACCCTACGTTCAGGGATGCATGTTATGTGTTGGGTTTATTAGATAACGACAAAGAATACATATATTCAATAATAGAAGTGAATACTTGGGCACCGATGGATTATATAAGAAGGTTATTTGTAGTTATGCTTCTTTCCAATAGCTTAAGTCGGCCCGAACATGTTTGACAAAGTTGTTGGTTGGATTTGGCTGAGGGTATTGCTTACAAACAACAAAGTCTTCATAATAATCCAGATATGGCAAATTGTATAACACATTATTCAATTAGATTTTAAATATTACTCATCTTTTTAATATTGTCGTATCTCATCGAAAGAGAAAAAATATTGCAAAGCAATGGTAAAAGCTTGCGAAATTACACGCCCATGCCAGTTCCAATCGAATTCTCAGCGGATGACACAGTAAACATATTGGTGTTTGATGAACTGGATTACGACCGATTTGAAATGGGTAGGGAACTTCAACGGTGTCTTGCTTGAATTACAGACGTGCAAACAATGATTTATGATATAGTCATGGATGTTGTATCCAATGACCGTGGTGGAATGTTCTTTCTATATGGCCATGGTGAAACGGGAAAGACGTTTCTATGGTAAACTCTTTCGGCTGCAGTTCGTTCCAAGGGAGAGATTGTAATTAACGTTGCATCGAGTGGTATAGCATCATTATTGCTCCCCGGTGGAAGAACAGCTCATTCTCGATTCGGACTACCCATAAATGTACACGAGAGTTCCACCTGTAGCATATCGCAACAAAGTCCACAGACGGAGTTGTTCATAAGGGCAAAGCTTATTATATGGGACGGGGCTCCTATGATGCATAGATACTGTTTTGAAGCGCTTGACAAGACAATGAAGTCAATATTACAGGTTGACAAACTCTTTGGTGGTAAGGTGGTTGTTCTTAGAAGAGATTTTAGGCAGATTTTACCAGTTGTGCTCAAAGCATCAAGGCAGGACATAGTACATGCTACGATAAACTCCTCTCCGCTGTGGAATTTCTGTCGTGTCATGAAGTTGACTAAGAACATGAGATTGCAGTCATGCTCTTCTCCATCCAACGTGGATGAGGTAAAATAATTTGGAGACTGGATACTGAAGGTTGGTAGTGAGGATGTTGGGGAACAAAATCATGGTGAAGCTTCGATAGTGATTCCCGATGACATGTTGATTGGTGATTCAGAAGATCCATTCAGAGACCTACTGGAATTCGTTTACCCGGATTGTTGAGTAACATGTATGATCCAGATTATTTTCAAGGGAGAGCAATTCTTGCACCAACTAATGAATGCGTCGAGTTTGTGAACGATCACTTAATGTCTCTCCTTCTAGGAGAAGAGAAGGTGTACCTGAGCTCAGATAGTATGTTTAGGGACGAGCAAACAATGGAGGATAATGCAGAAATTTATTCGACTGAATTCCTCAACACAATAAGATGCTCCGGACATCGTTCTCATGCGTTGAAGTTCAAGATTGGTGCACCCGTTATGCTAATAAGAAACATCGATCAAGCTAAAGGATTGTGTAACCGGACCAAACTTCAAATTATTAGAACTGGCATTCACGTTCTGAGTTGCAAAATTCTTTCCGGAAAAAATATCGGTGACATGGTGTTCATTCATCGGATGACTTTAATACCATCTACCGGACTGCCAATTAAATTTCAGAGAAGACAGTTTCCGTTGATTGTTTCTTTTGCAATGACAATCAATAAAAGCCAAGGTCAAACTCTTTCGCATGTTGGTTTGTATCTTCCTAAGCATGTCTTCAGCCATGATCAACTATATGTTGCACTGTCAAGAGTTACGAGCAGAGGTGGTGGCATTAAAATATTCTCACCAATGTTACTAGAAATGTCGTGTAAAAGGAAGTATTTCATCGAATTTGAAGGTAGATAATATTTTCATATTTACCAATTATTCATGTAACATGTCTTTTTTTTAACAACTTATTCTTTGGCAGGTGTTTCTTCTCTATATAATTTCCCCCGTGCGATGTTATTTTCACATGTCCCTAGGATGCTCAGTGCAAATTTTATTATCTTTAAGATTTATTTTTGACGATATACTAATATTTAATATTATTCTTATGATGTAACTATGAAGAACATGATGCTTCAATATTGCTGGTCGCGTTTTGTATTTAAATTCAATGAGCGTAATAATTTATATATGCGTAAATTTATTTTTCAGACATGTATTTCCAGTTGAAAATATGTCACCCCGTGCATCGCACGGGTGAATACTAGTTTCCAAAAAAAAATCGGACGTACAAAATCAATTCCAATTCTCATTTCAAAATTTTCGGAATCTAAAAATTCATTCTAATTTCACAAGGCCCGGAATTTTCGGAATTTCGGAAAAAAAAAAACAATCGGAAATCACATTATAAGCTTTAAAATTTCAAAACTTAGCCGAAATTTTCTAAGATGTTCATAATTTTTTTTCAAAAATAAGAACATCCACGTCGATAAAAGTAAAACTAATAAATAACTACTAAATTTCAGTTCAAAAAAATAAATAAAAATAAACACAACATAATATCAAATAAAACTTCTAACAACAATTCATTATGTCAAAATCCTAAAACAAAACTTATAGGTGTATTTTTCGGAATTATAAGTATTATATAATATATATTATTTATAGGTGTACTTTTCGGATAAAAAAACCGGATCGGAAATTCCAAATCCAATCCAAAAAATTAGAAAATCGGAATTTCGGAAGTCAAGAGGAAAAAAGTTGTTCCAAAATCAGAACTTTTCGGATCGGAACCAGCGGAAATTGAAAATTCCGTTCCAACTTGCACCCCTAGTTCTACTAATCGAACTTGGGAGAATTACACTTTTGGTCCCTCATGTTTGGTCCGATTTCACTTTTGGTCCCCCTTGTTCCAAAGTGAACAAAGTTCACCTCCAAGTTTCAATTTTAAACACTTTTGGTCTCCGCCGTTAGCAAGTAACGGAAAACACTATTTTGGGGTGAAAATTAGTATTTTAAAATTATTTGGGGCTGAAAATAATTATAAATTTAAAATAGACTTATAATTAAATTTTTAATAATATTAAGTATAATGAAATTTATTTAGTTAATTTTTTTTATTATTATTAATAAAATAATTATAAGTAGTACAATGAAAAATAATATTTAGTATAATGTACAATAATTTATTTAGTTAATTTCTTAATTATTATTAAAAAAAATTATTAGTAGTATAATTATAAGAATATTAAGTATAATTATAAATGATTTGTTTAGCTAATTTCTTTTTTTATTATTAATTTTTTTATTATAAGTAGTATAATTTAAAATAATATTAAGTATAACTAAAAATAGAGATTATTTGACAAACCTCCTCATTAGCCTCCTCTAATTAGAATGAGTCTAATTTTTTTTTTTTTTTTTTTTTTGATGTTTAAGTTAAATCCAAAATATTTTTAATGAATAAAAATTAATAGAATTTCACGATTATACCCTTCTTCCTATTTGACATAATCTTATTATTTAATGTTAATTTATAATAATTCAATTATAATCTCCATCCAAACTTCCAAACCTTACTCTCAAACTATTTTTTCTCCCCCGTATTTTTTCCAAACCGCCATCATCATCATCATCGCATCGCAGTATGTTGAGGTTACCGTCCTGGCAACTTTATTTCGAAGGCTTTGATTTGCCACATGCGAAATTGGAGGAGGAGTAGGCAATTAATTTAAAATCGTGGTAAATGATCGAACAAGTAGTTGCCCTACAATGTTTTATGTTTGAGTAAAATGTTCTCTCTGATTCTCTCTCTCTCTAACACACACACACACACTCTCTACTCCTGGCCGACTTTTTCTGTGAGGTCAAAGGCGCTCATCAGCTGCTGCAAGGCAGAGGCTGCTGTCGGAATAGATACCGAAGCAACTGACAATCTACGGCGAATGAATATTATAGGAGAAATAGAATTGAAGAAAGAGAGAATTATGTCTCTCACGTATATTAATCATATATATAGGTACATGTAGGTAACCCTAACCTATTACACAAGGTAACCTATTACACAAGGTAACTATAATAAATAATAATAATAATAATATATACGTATAAATTCATGGTTGTCAAAATCGAACGATTCACGATTTGAATCGTCCGATTCGATTCGATTCAGACTCAACTCGATTCAAATCGGTGAAGAAATCGAAAAAATAAAAAAATCGTAACTAAATCGTTTAAATCGTTGGTAAATCGCCCAAATCGTGCGATTTGTACGAGTTAGGCGATTTGCTGAGATTTGCTTTATGTTATTAATATATTATATATTATTAAATTAGGAAGTGATTTCTAGAAGACCCACTTTTCAACCCACAAAAGCTGTCTTTTGCCATTCTTCTTGATTCTCCCTTCTCTCAACAAATTCAAGAAAGAAAAATCATCCCACTCCCACCGTCTGCCGTCAAAAAACATCCCTTCTTCTTGTTTTGGTGTTCAACCAAGTTACACAGGTAATTAATTATTTTACATTTTGTACATTCTTCTAGATATATGTATTTAAATTTTGTATATTATCATTATTTTGCAGATTTCTTATGGGGAAATCAAAGGGGGAGAAAAGCAAGAGCAGTGATGATCCAGGATGGAAACATTGCCAAAAAATTGATGAAGGAAACATGCGAGTAAGATGTGTACACTGTCAAGTTATCTATTGGGGAGGTGTTTATCGCATAAAACATCATTTAGCAGGAACTAGAAAAGATGTTGAACCATGTACAAAATGTTCTGAAGAAATTCGAAATTATTTTTTAAATTATCTGGAAAGTCAAAAAACGAAAGGAGATTATGGGGATGATGGAAATTTTGTTGAAGATGATGTTGGTGAAATTCCTGGAAAAAGAAAAAAACGAACAATGAAGTTTTTCAAAAAATCTGAAAAAGAGACAGGCTCTTCTAAGACTACTTTGAATACGTTATGGAAGACGAAGGACAGAGATTCCGTGTGTAGTGATATATGTAGATGTCTTTATGCAAACGCTCTCCCCTTTAATTTGGTGAAAGATCCATTTTTTAAATCTATGTTGCAGTCAGTTGCAGAATATGGAAAGGGGTTAATACCTCCTTCCTATCATGAGGCAAGGGTAACTTTTTTGGAAAATGAAGTTAAGTCAATCCAAGAAATTATCGAAAGGTACAAAGATGAGTGGAAAACGACAGGGTGTACTCTTATGTCAGATGGATGGACAGATAATAGGAATCGCTCTATCACGAATTTCTTAGTTAATAGTCCAAAGGAAACCGTGTTTCTAACAAGCATCGACACTTCTGATGTTTTTAAGAATGCTACGGAATTGTTCAAACTTCTTGACAAGTTTGTTAGACAAATTGGGCCGGAAATTATTGTTCAAGTTGTTACCGACAGTGCGGCAGCTTATGTAAAAGCTGGAGAGATGTTGATGGAATCTAGAAAAAATATTTTTTGGAATCCTTGTGCTGCACATTGTATGGATCTCATTCTAAAGGATATTGGAGATATGCCAATACATAGAGACACCATGGCCAAGGCAAGAAAGATTACAGTGTACATCTACAGGTAATTCGTTTTATTTGGTTCTACTATATACTGTGTAACTTATATTATTACTTTATATACCTTTAATTTTTACCATGTTTATTTTCAGACATGCTTGGGTTTTGAACTTAATGAGAAAATTCACGCGGCATAGGGAGTTAACAAGACCCGCTGTTACAAGATTTGCAGCATCGTATTTAACTTTGAGACGTTTGCATGAGTCAAAGATGGCACTTACGGCAATGTTTGGATCTGAAATCTGGCAAAAAAGTTCATATGCGAAGAAAGCGGATGGACAAGCTATTGGTGAGATAATTTTAGCTGACAAGAACTTCTGGTCGGCCATTCAATATTGCTTGATGTGCACACTCCCATTAGTAAAGGTGTTAAGACTTGTAGATGGGGATTCTAAGCCTGCCATGGGATATATTTATGAAGCAATGGGTTATGCAAAAGAACAAATAAAGAAAATTTTTAAAGATGTTAAAAAAAGGTATGAGCCGATTTGGGAAATATTGATCTGAGATGGGATTTACAATTGCATAGACCCCTTCATGCGGCTGCGTACTATCTTAATCCGAGGTTATAATGATTCTTACTTACTCATTATTATTATTTTATTTATTTATTTTTACAATTATTTGATACTAACTGTTTGTTTGCCTAGTTTTGTGATTGTAAAG